GTCCTCAAAGGTTAAAGAAGCACTTATTCAGTGAGAGTAGACATTCAAGACCTGGCCCCTAGACCGTAGCCTGTGTACATAAGCCTTTCTTTGCCCCATGAGAAAATGCCTTCATACTCACAAGAGTAATAGTTGTTAGCCCTTCCTTAAAAATCCAGATGCTGGTTATCTGCCTAAGGATTTCTCTAGCCAGGCCACTGCCTCTCTGCCCTGGAAAGTCAGGAGAGAGAGATGAATTCATTCCCATGGACAAGTCTGCTAAGGGGTTTGGTTGGGTAGGAAATGTATATAGTTGGTTTAAAAAATATATGTTTAGATAAACTATAGGTTTTCATTTTGCATGGAAAAATATACTGTTGTTAGAAAATGTGGGTCCAGAGGCCCACATTGCCTGTGTGATCTTGGGTAAGTCATTTCACATTTCTGCATCCATTTCCTCCTTCATAAAGGGAGATACTTATACCCCCATCTAGCTCTTGCCTCTGTCCATCCGTGACCTTGACACTGCCCGTGGCAATGCTCTGGTGCTTATGGGAAGCACTGAGTGAGGTTCCTCATTATTCCACTTTGGTTAGAAACTGATTGTTGAAAATAATACTACCAGTCTATCTGCCCTATTCTTATCAGATATAGCCAGATCACATTTCTATATATCAAATCACATGTTAAGTGTCATGATATAAAGACAATCTGCAACGAACCTTCTAGTAAAATAGATAGCTCTCCTGAGTCTATGTTTTATGTGATATTTCCTTAACTGCTTGTGTCAGAGAAGAAAGGTGCCCCCTGCCTTTCTTGCAGAGTGCAGGTGTCCAGTCCCCCCAGCTGTCTGTTTCCCTGAGGTCCCTCAGTGCCTGCAGATGGAAGGACCCTGCTTTGCTCAGAGTGTATTTCCTGTTAAATCCTAACCTGCAGCCTCATTTGAGCCTCACAACAACCATGTGAGGGAAGTCTCATGTCCTTAGTTTGCAGAAGACAAGGCTGAAGCCTGGAGGGATTAAATGAAATGCAGCTGATAAACAGTTGATTCAGATCCAACTTCTCTCAATCCTAAGCAAGCAAATCAGGGAGCTTTGAGTTCAGAGTGGTGGGGGCAGGGGGTGCAGTGGGACATATAGGTGGCCAGGAAACTGAAGAGGATGCTGAGGACAGGGTCAGCGGAGGTGGGATTTTGAAAGCCACTGGGCCAGTGTATGAAAACTCTGAGTCAGGGTCAGGCTTATGGGTTCTGTCCCTACAGCCACTGTAACACCTTGCATTTGTCCCAAGGAGGATGATGCCAGTGTGTGGTGAAGGGTCTAGTGGAGTGGTAATTCCGGAGAACATTAAAATGTGAGAGGGAGAAAGATAGTGAAGGTGGATAGAATCTACTGGCAGACAGACAGACAGACAGATAGATAGATAGATAGATAGATAGATAGATAGATAGATAGATAGATAGACATGTATAGAAATATGTGTGTTTCTATAGGGTCTTTCCTTACAATTATATATATGTATACATGCATGTATTATGTCCTTTCAGAGCCTTAAAGAGACACACCCACATGTAAATAAGTCTATCCACACATCCACACATTTAGGAAGCATGAGTTCATTCTTTCTTCTTGCTCAGTACCAATCAGACCCTCACTGTGTTCTGTTCTATTGGTTCTCTCTTGAGGACGAGGAACCACACATTAGCTGTATACCCTTGAACATGCCACATCCCCTCTAAGTCTCCACTATCTCACCTGCTGAACAGGAAGGCAGTGCCTAGTGATCCACCTTGTCTGGTGGTTGAATAATAAGAATAACAGAGTCGCCCACTTGTATACAGTGTGTATGCCAATGCTCAAAACAGTCCTAGGAGATTGCTACTGTTATTATTGCCCACTTTACAAGGGAGAAAACTGACATACAGATAGATTTCATAACTTGCTCAATATCACCCGGCAGGTAAGTAGTAGAGGTGGATTTGAGCTCAAAATGTGGCTCCAGAGTCCAGGCTCCTGACTGCCTTGTTATGTGATGCACTGTCTGAAAGCACTGAATCTGTGTGAAATGCTTTGTAAGTAAGCAGTGCCACTCCTGCCCTTGCGAGGCCCACTCCCATTGGGGAGGATGAAAGCCAAGAAAGACTGGAGGGTGCTGCTGTCCCCAGCCTCAGACCTGTGACACCGGCGGCCAGGTGCCAGCTTTCAGGCTGGAAGACAGGTCTCCCCGCCCCTGCGGGCTGCAGGACCAAGATCTTCCTGTGTTCTTTTTCCAAGCCCAGTATCCCTGCTGCCAAGAGCGGGTTTGCCTGTCTCCTGGAGACAGCGGTCGTCAAGCCCCGCGAGCACAGCAAGCATGTCAAAAATAGCAGCGCCAGCAGACTGCACGGCTGCAATTTCCTCTTGAAATGTCGGCTCGGCTCTCGCCAAAGAGCTGGGGTCTGTCTGTATTCCCTGCAGGCTGCAGCCAAGGCGCCTAAGGTTCCAGATGTTTTCGAGGGGCAGGTGGAGCTATGCGTAGGGGCCCAGGGCAGCCTAGAGAGGAGTCGTCTTTCTTACAGAAGCAGGGATGGGGTGGGCGTGGTGTTTTTAAAAAAATTATCATATGCCCCACCAGGGCCAGGCCCCCTAAGGGTGAAGTAATAGTCGAGGTGAAGCCAGGATGAGTGAAAATTCCTGGAGCATCTAGGAATAAGGAAGTCACACCCTCCCAGGGTAATCCCTCAGAAGAGCTGCCAACGGCTCCTATGCACCCCATAGGGGACAAAGGGGACTGAGTACCAATCGGGGACAAAGAGGCAAGGCAAACTCCTCTCTGTAAGACTTTAGAGCAAAGGGACATGAGAGACACGACACTCTCCAACCCCACAGGGACCTGGAGCCCAGAACAGGCAAGGGGTTCGTGGGGAGGGGCAGTAACATGAGGCCGAAGGGCCCATCTGTCCTTCCCAGAGGCCTGCATCAGCCACAGGATCTCCCCTCAGAAGCCCCAAGCTCCAGGCCTTATTCTGCCCTGAGGTGTCTGTGCAACCAGAGGCAGCCCATTAAAGCGGGATGGAGAAGGAAACTCTTCAGTTTCAAGAACAGATTTCTTCCTCCCCTAAGTGACCTTGACAAGCTAGAAACCCACCACTCTGCCTCCTGCGGTAATAACCCAGTCAAGCCCGGCAGGGATGGACAGCAAGCCCAGCCACATTACCCAAGATTCTCTGCAGCTCTGTCGTGGTATTTGCATAGAGATGCTGGGAGACAGGGTACCTCTGAATGCAAAGACGCAGCCGCCAGAGGAGGGATGATAAGCAGCTGGGCTGGAGGGGTTCGGGCAATCCTGAAGCAAGGGGCTCACCAGAGGCTGTTATCCTGCCTGTCTTTACCCAAAGTCTCCTACCCCGGGGACCCTGTCAGCAAGCTAAGGGTTAATGACAATGCAGGGAAGAGATGGAGCAAGGAAGGCCAGGAGAAGTAAACTTTGATTTCTGTGCTATTTCCTAAAGAATTCTGACTGTACAGGTGCAGAGATTAGTGAGGTTTCCTGGTCTATTTGCAGGGTTTTGGTTTTGTTTTCCTAGCCAGCAAAGGGTCAGCCCCATGAGCAAGCTCACGACCCCGGTCCGATGTCCTAAATAATGTCTCATAGCTTTTTTGTAGTTCAAAGCCTGCTAATTAGGCTCTGCACTTACCAAAAATGACCTGACCTATCTTTAGACTAGAGGGGAAAAAACATGCAAATCCCACAATGGTTTGATTGTCAAAATTAAAAAAAAGAAAAAAACAACAGCAGTTTGGCACTGTAGCTGAGCAGCGAGGAACAGCGACACGGAAGCCCTAAAGTATCCCTGTGTGTCATTCCATCCCGGATATCCAGTTGGTCCACCTTTAGAGAAGCCACCTCTCAAGATTTGTAATCAACCATTTTCTCAACCAAAATTATAATAACCAGGCTATTAGCTTCATGTCACCTTTTTATTCACAATTCACTGGCTTGTTGGGTTATTTTTATTACTGATCTCTCCTCACACACACACACACACGCACACGCACATACACACAAACCATGCATGGGGCCTTGCCCTGTGCTCTATGACCTCCAGCGAGAAGAGCGGACCATAGTCCAGCTTGTCAAGGAGCAGCCCCTGCCCCTGCACTGCTGTGGTTTACATCCTTGGCTTTTGTTCTGCCTTCAGTGCACAAAGAAATAGTAGGATGCTGTCAGAACCTCCAGTGAATAAGGGCACCGCGTTAAGGCTTTTTTCAGGCTAATTCCAATCTCATGTCTTCCACTGAAGCCCTTTTTTTTTTTCCCCTCTTTTGCTATTTCTACTGTTTCTTTCTGGAACCTCTCTGTAAGGTCATCGCCCCCTCCCCAGAGGGGCATATTCCAGTGCTACATAGCAAATGATCTGATTTACAGGTTCTCTCTCTCTCTCTCCCCTGGAATATTCATCTCTTCTTGCTCCTAAGTCAAGGATCCCCCCCCCCACCCCACAGAGGGGCCTTAGGAGAAACGGGTGGCATCCTGAGATGCCAGGAAAGAGAGACACCCTCCAGCTGGAGAATAACCTCCTCAAAAAACACCCCAGATCAAAGTTGTCCCAAGTTCAAAGTGCGATCTCAACAGAAATGCTCTAAGACAGCTGCAGGCCCTGAGCAGGTATGAGAGGGGAAAAAGAGAGAAAGGAATCAGAGAAGGAAGAAGAAGTTAAAATAACAGAAGGGGGAGGGAACAGATACGGAGAAGAAAGGAGAAAAGGCAGAGAAAGTGAGAATGAATGGCAGGTAAGAGGGACATGCAAGGAAAGGGATGATTAAATGGGGCAGAGGCAAGAGGGAAACACCGAGGAAACAGAACCAAGAACCTGGATGGGTAAGCGTACAAGAAAAATACACAGACATAAAAGCGAGGTGGCCACTGAGTAAAACCTTGATTCTCCCCCTCCCCACCATGCACGCTCCCCCACCCACCCTGAGTTCTAATGTGACCCCGAGGGCTGAGCCAGGAATTAAATTCTCCACAGTAGCACCTACCTCAGAGGCCACGCGGCCCAGCTGTCCCTCTCTCCTGGGGGGTGAGCGGGCCGGAAGGGCATCCTGAGTCTCAGGTGAGCCTGACAGATCCAGGAAAACCTTCGGGAGCTCCTGCTGGCTTGAGTCAGGTGAACCCCGCCTGTGCTGGCAGCTGGGAAATCACCACCCCAGCTGTCTCAGCAACACAGGTTCCTATTTTCGCAGTGCTTGGGACACAAAATCCACATGAAGAGGCTCAGAGTCAGAGAGAGATGGCTTTAGCAAAATCCTTCACAGAAACTAGGCCAGGGCACAGCCTCTCAGATTGTCTTCGATGTCTTAAGGAGAATCTCCTACGAGATTCCTCCCAGGAGGCGACTGTTCCAGGAAGGAAGGAGCATCCTCTCTCCCAGGGTCCTGGAGCTGGGAGGAGTCTCTCTCTGAGGATAAGCTCCATGGAACTAGGATGGACAGACACCACTTGACTCTCGGCGAGGCCCAGCTTGGAGGCCTCTGGAAGTACATGTCCCCTTCCCAGTTCCCCTCATCATTTTGAAAAAGATAACATTGACATTGGTTAAACTGATTTAACAGAGCATTCAAGTTTCTGAAGAATCAGGGGTAAGATGAGGCAGCTTCAATGACTGCGTGGGCAAGTCAGGAAGAGAGGTCCCAGGAAGAAGAAGTTTAGGGAACCTGCTTCCCTCTCATTTTCTGAAAGCCACACATTCCCGTCCTGGTCCTATGAGCCCCAAAACCAATAGGTGGGAGGTGTTCCCATTTCAGAAGCTGGGAAGATGTCGTCTCCTGTTCTCCTTTACTGCCCAAATCAGAAGATAGAGAGAACAGTCTGGAAGGTTGCTACGGCAACCAGAGTCCCCGGAGAGCCCAGCTCTCCGCAAACCCTTTACTTTCAGACATGCTCTGACTTGAAAAGGAAATGCTTTATCGGGGTTGGTGATGAGGATGACCACACACACAAACACAGAGCTACACGCCACCTGTGCCACCACTTCCCCGGGGCTGGGAGCCTCCCCTTTGCCTCTGAGTGTCCTTCACCTGTCCCCAAATAGCCAGGAGTCACTGAAGAAATTGGGAAAACCAACACTTTGGCCTCAGAGCAGGTTTTTGGAATCATGAGCTCCCCTAGCTCCTACTGCGATTCCGGCTTGGAGAAGCCAGGCTCCCAAATTAAGATGGCCTCAGCAGGATCCCACTGTCCAAATAGCTTCTTCCTTGCTAAAGGAAAAAGAAATGGCCCAGAATGGCCAATCTTGGGCTTTGGATCTGAGGCAGGAACTCTAGTAAGGGGAGGTCTTTCCTCTGGGAGATGGGGAGACAGAGGAATGAACTAAAGATCAAATCCAGGACTAAAACTCACACATTTGCATAGCATCATCCCCAGCTTCCCAGATGAGTTTATCAATATCCCCGTGAGGTAGGGAGGGGAAGACATTAATGTTCCCATTGAATGGGTGGGGAAACTGAGGCACAAAGAGGAACTGTGGCACCAAAGTTACCCTGTAACGCTGTGGCAAAATCCAGATGTCGATCTGGCACTCACAGGAGCCACAGCATCCCTCAAAAACACCCTCCAAAGGCCATCCCTTAGAACCTGCTCTTTGAGAAAATATTTTTGTTAAATCCTCATCAAAGAGATTTAAAGCACAGATATAAAATCAAAACCTGTTAACAGTCCTTTCGGTTTCTGCACTGCACCGAGAAGAGTTCAGAACATTATGTCACAGTTTATCAAGGCAACAAACAAATGACAATGTTACTGGGGGGAGATGAGGGGAGAGGGCAGGAAGGTGCAGGCAGCAGTTTCATGATGGAGGAAGATGGGTTGGTCGGGAGGGCACACCTGCACATTACCTTGCCAGTGAGAGCCGGGTGCTGCAGCTCCTGGGACAGAGCAGGAGAACGTTTGCTTGACTCAGCAAAAAAGCGTCTAACACTGAGGCCATCGCAAAAGGACTAATGCTTCTTCCTGACGCTACACCACCTATTTCATTGCCCATAAAATAGGAGGAAACCCATGCTAGCATCCAAGTGTGCTTTTCCCTGTTTGCAGGCTTAAGCTGCAGCTGGCTCTAGAAAGTCTTCCACTGCAATCCTAAGTCAAATTCCCAGAAAGATGGGTAGAGGCTAGGAGGCTAGAGAGGGTTGGGGAAAAAGGGGTGGGGGGGGAGGGGGATTTGCCTTCTGCAACAAGCTTCCTCTGCCCCTCCCAGATAAAGATGCCTGAGGGCATAGGTCTTCAGCTATGTGCTCCAGCCAGGTGCTTGCCTCTGCTCAGCAGTGCCTCTGTGTTTTTCCAGTTCCTCTGCACAGGAAGGCACTTGCACAAAAAGACTATTTGGTTTTGAGAAGGAACCTTCCTGGAAGCTAGAGAGAGTCAGGGGGTCAGAGTGGAGAGGCCTAAATGTAGACCAAAGACTGACACCTGTTGTGCTGGAACACACCTGGACGAATCCACGGGTCCCTTTGGTACAAGAATGACCCCTGATGTCCTCCAAATGGCCAAGTTTATGTACTTTCTCTAATTCCATCCAGGGTTAAAGATGAGTAATGTATTTTGAGGTTGTGCACTAAAGGGTCAACCGAGGGATGCAGGATGACTAGCAGGTGTTACCGGGCACTGGAAGGAACAGCAAGATGAGCACTGATTCAGTCCTCCAGCTTCTGCTGGAGTTACCACGTGGCCAAAAGCTAAGACAGGTGCCTGTCCTAGGGCAAAGGACACTAAGGAAAGAAACAAGACCCAGGTATGCCCGGCTTCCATCCTGTTGACCTCTCTGTTCTTAGCAGCATCACAAGCCCCAGACATGTAAAATCAGAGTCTTGAGGGAAGGTCAGATGGAAATCACATCCAGTGACAGAAGATGGTCATGAATGGGTGGCACCATTAGAATTTCTAAAATGTCATTTAGATGGATAAACCTTGAATGCTGCAGGGATCGAGCAACAAGGCTGACAGTTCAGGCATTTGGTCCTGGATGCCATCCACTGGGTATAGGGGAGGGAGTCAGGATGTCAACTGGTGCTAGGGTGAGAACAGTAGAGAATGAGAAGGAAGCCTAAGGGATTGTTTGCTCAGCGCCATCCTTCTCGGGCAAGCCCTGCCTGTGTCAATCAAACCTCAGTGAGCATCCTTTTCTCTGCATACACCCGATGTGGAGTGGGAAGGTAGCTGGGTCTCCGTTCCCGGGTGGCCTCAGATAATTCAGGCTTGCCAAGTCCATTGTCAGCTGCCTTCAGATCCGGTGCAGGTTGCCCACAAGTGACATGGGTGTACTGACCTTGTTCCTCCTGCTCTGTCTCCCGGTGGTAGAAGTAGTTGAAGTTGGAGACGATGACCGGCACCGGCAGGGCGATGGTGAGGACCCCCGCGATGGCGCACAGCGAGCCCACGATCTTGCCCCCCACTGTCATGGGGTACATGTCTCCATAACCTACCGTGGTCATTGTAACCACTGCCCACCAGAAGGCATCTGGGATGCTAGGAAAGAGTGACTCGTCATCATCAGCCTCTGCAAAGTAGACGGCGCTGGAGAAGAGGATGACCCCGATGAAGAGGAAGAAGATGAGCAGGCCCAGCTCGCGCATGGAAGCCTGCAAGGTCTTGCCCAGGATCTGCAGCCCCTTGGAGTGGCGGGAGAGCTTGAAGATGCGGAACACGCGCACCAGACGGATCACTCTGAGGATGGCCAGCGACATGGCCTGCTGCCCGTTCTGGCCGCCCCCTCCACTGGCTGACTGCTGCTCCTGCTGCTGTACCAGCTCGGTGCCCAGGGTGATGAAGTAAGGGAAGATAGCCACCAAGTCAATGATGTTCATGATGTTTCGGAAGAAGGCCGGTTTGCTGGGGCAGGCGGAGAAGCGCACTAGGAGTTCAAAAGTGAACCAAACAATGCACAGAGTCTCCACCAAAAAGAAGGGGTCAGTAAAGAAGGAGCCCCCAAGAGTGCTTAGTGAGGATGAGCCCCCAACTACCATTCCTCCAGAGGAGACGCCGGGATGAAAAGTGTAGGGATCATCTTCGTCTTCCTCTTCCTCCTGACTCCCCCTGGAAATCGGGGAGACCCTGCTCGCACCATCACCATTGCTTCCTCCCCGACCGTCGGCGCGGAACTGGGGAAGGGTCTCCAGACAAAAGATGACGATGGAGATGAGAATGACCAACACGGAGACGATGGCGATGCCCCTGGCCGGTCCGGAGCTCTCGGGGTACTCGAAGAGGAGCCAGACCTGGCGCTGGAAGGGCTGGGAGGGCAGCGGCTTCTCGTCCTCGCCACCTTCGGGGAGGCAGCCCTCGTCCTCCCGGAAGGCTGCCAGGGCCTCCTCCCCGAGCTGGTAGAAGCGGATCTCTTCCAGGAAGATGTCCAGGGGCACGTTGACCGGCCTCCGCAGCCGCCCCCCCGACTGGTAGTAGTACAGGATGGCGTCGAAGCTGGGCCGGTTGCGGTCGAAGAAGTACTCGTTGCGCAGGGGGTCGAAGAAGCGGACGCGGCGGCCCGGGTCCCCCAGCAGCGTGTCGGGGAACAGCGACAGGGTGCGCAACTGAGTCTCAAAGCGCAGCCCGGAGATATTGATCACCAGCCTCTCGCTACTACAGCAGCCCCCGCCCCCACCGGTCTCCGGGAAGTCTCCCGCATCCTGTTGCTCCCCCTCCGGCCCCCGGACCTCCCCCGGCGCCGCCAGCGTGAGGGATTTCTCCGATCGCATGTCCCCCCGGCGGTGCGCCCTCGCCACTAGGACGGCGCCCACGGCACCAGCCCCGGAGCGCGGCACGGTTCCCCTGCGCCCGGCGGCGCCCTCTCTTTAGGGTGGGGCTCGCGATCCTCGGAGCTCGCGGTCTGCCCTAGGGGTGGGGTCCGTGAGCCTTGAAGCTCTGCTTGCAGCGAGGCTAGGTCTTGGGGAGGTGACCTGCCGGCAGAGGATTTGGCTCCGCGCGCCCAGTTAACCGCGCCTGGGGCGAGAGCTTCCTGGGATACCTGGAACCGCAAACCGGCCCGTGTGAAACTGGATGCCCGAAAAGACGCGTGGCTTCGCCCCCCGCCGTGCCTGAGCCTGGGCTCCCGGGCGCGGGGTCCGCCCTCCACACCGGCTGGCGCTTCCCAGCGCCCACTGCGCTGCCCGCACGGCTCAGGACCCCCGGCTGCCGCTGGTGCCGCGGCGCCAGATGCGCCTCCCTCCCGCTCGGCGAGGGCTCCTGGCGCGGCTCGGCCTCCGCCCTGCGTCCACCGCGGGGAGCGTCTGGCCAAGGTCGCCGGTCCCGCCGCCACCTCCTCCCGAGGAGCCTCGCCGCAGGCCTCGGAGAGGGCCCTGGGGCTGCCCCGCAGCCGGGGCGCGGGAACCCACCTCCCCACCGCTCGAGCCTGCACTGCAGCGGCCGCAGCTGCAGCGGCTCGGCTCCCGGCTCTGCCCTTCCTTCCCAACACACTCTCCAAGTGACGTGGCAGGCCCCGCCTGCTGCCCCCTCCCACCCCACCCCCACATCACACCCCTCGCCCCGCCAGGGGCTGCGGCGACCAGGGCGCCTTGGAATTAGACACACACTCGCCTCCCAGGGAGTCTTTCCCGCGCTCTCCTGGCACGCCTCTCCCTTTCACACATGCACACTCAGGGCCCCCCTCCAAAGAAGCAGCAGCACCCTCATACCACACCCCCACGCCACCCCCGCAATCAGCTTTTCCCATTTCGGTTTACGGAGGAGTTGACCTGCGCAGTGCATTTCATCAATAAGAAAACACACCCCGCCCGGGACACAGCCCAGATCGTTGTGCCTGCGCTCCCCCAGACGTTTAATAATAAATAAATCAATCCTAGTTTATCCCTCTGTGTGTACGAAAACCTATTCAGCAGGCTTCTCCAATCTTTACTTTAAAAAAAAAAAAAAAAGAGGAGATATTTTTGAGATGTCTTAGGAGCTTCCAATTTAAACGGTGCTGCCCCCATGCAAGTCCCCACAGAATTCCATACCTCTCCTTGCAAGCCTGGGAGGGCGAGGCTGCTCTCTCCTGAAGTGTGAAATGATGGCAGCACGAAGCACTGGAAAGCTCTCTTCCACTTCCCATCAGAAGTGTTCCCGGGGAGACCTAAGAACTTAAGGCAGAAGCCTCCGTGAAGATGGAGGCGTCTCAGAGGAGCAGCCCAGTCCCTGGAATTCGTTCGCTCCCAGCCTCCCTGGGAAGGCATCCCGAGAGTCTGTTATTACACAGACCACTCCAAAGGGTGAGGGAAAGGGGTGTGGAAATATGTGTTAATAAAAATAATAGCTGCATTTGGTGATAGAAGCCAGCCGCATTCCAGGTGCCTTACCTGTACTGTCTCCTTCAGTCCTCACAACCAGATGAGAAAGATGCCCTCTCCTGCCAGGTGATGTGACAAGGAGATGTGCCTGGCAGTATTTGGGTGGCAGCCAAAATTTGTAGATAGGGACTCTCCCTAACATGCCAGAAGGGGAGAGGTAAGGTTGGTTCTCCATCCATTTCTGCCAGGGAGCCCATCTTTCTCACCAGGTGCAACGGGTTGAGATCTGGTGGGGGAAAGTGGAGGGGATTGGTTTAGCATGGCACTTTCAGCTACGGTTGACATTTGCTTCTCTCTGCCTCAGTTTCTCCTTTGTGGCTGACTCTGGCCAGAATGAAATGAAGGACAACTACAAGATGTTTTGTGTAGTTTCTTGACCACGTTCAATCATTTTGTTGATAATGACAGGAATGATACCTAATGGTACAATCAGACCACAAGCTACATGCAGGAGTGTTTTGTATTGTGTGTTGGTTTTTTTTAAAACCACAGTCATTCTTAGCAGCATTTGCTCCCAGAGGGGTAGAAAGAGATAGGGAACCAAGGCTCCTGGTGGTGAAGCAGGGATGTCAGGTGCTGAGTGGGTTGGAGGAGCTTAGCATGCCCCTGCATCTTCATTCCCTAGTCTTGTCCCTCTGGAGTCTTGCAGACAGCAGCTCTGCTTCCTTTCTACATGACACTGCTGGGTTCACCTCCCTCCTCTCACCTGGCATGTTTCCATGAAAGGCAAGAAACAAGTGTATAGAGTCACCCAGTCAATAGTTTTCCTATTTACAAGCTATGTAATTAAGCAATTTAGACTTTGAGTAAGTGAGTTACTCCATTCAAAAAAAAAAAAGTATAAGAAACCAACAGCAAATACAATATAAAAGGTATTCTTTTACCCTTGTCTAATTATCTGTTATTATTTTCTAGGTTGTAAATTGATTTACTCGTGATTTCTCTTTGTATTTGTTTTCGAAATGTATAATGAATTCTTCATTTGCATGTTCATTTTCATTATCGCCAGTTTTCTTCACTAGGCTGTGAACTAGGTCAGTCATGCTTCAAAGCAGCCCTGCGAGAAATTTGGGAAGGATCTGCCAGAAGGGCTCATGGTCTGGTGTGGTGGCAGGAACCACTGCTCGGAAGCCCATGGGTTAAGCCTGGCTGGCTCTGCCTGCCAACTTGCAGGCAGAGCGGATGCCCCATGGTTACCTTCACATCAGGCATGAGGCTGTGCCCCAAGAGAGGTTTCACTGTGCACAGGGAGGTTCCCCTGGAGGGAAAAGCCATTAGCAAATTCATGAATCAGAGTTCTGTTTTTAGTTCTTTTGTGAAATTGACTCATTTCTTAGCTTTAGAAAAGCCCCATGCCTAGATCTTTCCTCTCAAGCATATATTAAGAGTGAGTAAAATCACACTTTCTGAAGTGCCAGCTCCCAGGTAAAGATGACAAGTGACACGTCCTTTCTCCTAGGCGGTGGCACTGCTTCCAGTGACAGGTGACAGGGCTCAGCATCCACTGTGTGCTGACTTCAGTATGGATCTGTCCTGCTGTAGCTAAAGTCAGACATGATGGTAGGGTCATTTATTAACTTAGCAAAACTTTCTTGAGAAACTACTGGGTCCCAGCAAAGTGCCAGGTGCAGGGGATTTAGAAGTGAACTCCACAAGCTGTCTGCCCTTAAGAGCTGACATCTCCATGCAATAAATACATTATGTTTTAGATAGAAAGTTTTGACAGGAAAGAAGATATTTACATATTGTAGTCAATGCTTTAAGAAAATAAACAGGATGCTATGCCAGAAATAAACCTGGGGATTTAATTTTGAAGAGGTGGTTGAGAAAGTTCAGGTAATATTTCAACTGAGAATTCAAAGAGGAAAATGAACCCATGAGGCTAGAAGTAGGAGAAGAGCATTCTGGGCAGACAAGCACAAAAAACCCTGAGCTGGAAATGTCCTGGGTGTGCCAGGATGATTAAAAAAAAAAAGAATGGTCCAGCAGGAGAAAAGACAAGATGAGGGGGAAGAAGAACAGGGGTGAGAGCCGATAGGGGGAGGCGCTCAGGATTTATCTTAAGGGCCATGAGAAGGGGCCTCCCTGGTGGCACAAGGGGTTTAGCACAGCACTATGAAGCTGTCCACACCTTCTGCAGTACGAGTTCGATCCCCAGCCAGGGAGATACCCACATGGCGCACCTCTCCTGACTCGCCTGCTGCTCCCCTCAGCAGTGTACTTCAGCCAGTCTGCCTGTTCTGTTCCCCACTCTGTCTCTGGTGAATCCTCTCAACCCCCACATCTCTGGCCTGTACCCCAGCTCTTGTATGCATAAATAAATAAATCTTTTTTTTTTTTAAAAAAAAAAGGCCATGTGAAGCCAACAAATATCTCACACAGAGGGGAGATGAAATGATATGACTTATTGATGCATCAAGGCTGTGAGAGGGACGAACAACAAAGGTGCAAAAGAAGAAACAGAAACACTAGGAAACTGCAGCAATCTGGGGAAAAGACGACAGGGATTTGCACCAAGTAAATTGAGTGGAGATGGGGCGTAGAGGTGGTGGTGGGGCTTGAGGAGGCATTAAGGACATAGAATCATTATAAATCGGTGCTGAACAAAGAAATGCCAGGTTGTTGGTTGGAACCACTGCGTGGGCTGGTGATGCCGTTGATTGAGAAAGGGAAGAGGAGGGTTAAACACGTGAGCATCAATCAAGACCTCATTTTTAGACATATTAAATTGGAGAGGCCAATTAGACATGCAAATGCAGATGTCAAGGAGGTGACTGTGTTCAGGTCTGCAATATGACAGAGCAATTTATGAGTTGTGAATTTAAAGTATTTAGAAATATCTCAGCCCATGCCACTGAAGTCTTCTAGAGAGACAGAATATTGACGACAAGGAAAAGAAATATAACCAAGGACCAGAACTAGTCCTTCACGGTGCTCTACCATTTCCAGGTCAAACTCAGGAGGAAAAGGAGACAGTGAAGAGATGGGGGGCTGTCAATGAGTGGGAGGAAAACACAAAATGTTCATCCAGGGAGCAGACCCCAGGGCTCCATCCTCGTGTGGGAACCCATGCTCATCTATGGGGACCTACTATCTACGCAGATCAGGAGTGCACAGTGACAAGGGAAGGATGCCAGGAGGGAGCAATCACCAAACAATGGGCGTATGTGGCAGCCAAGAGAGTACACATATGTGACATGTCATTTGGTAATCATTTGTATGTTTGATTCTGCCCTGGACACTAAGAGGTACCATCCAGGTATAAAAATGGTGATTCTACTCTATATGCCCAGTCTCTTTTAGTACATTTTCTTCTACTTTGTATGGGTGTGCACACATGTGTGCACTAGTGCGTGTGCTTGCCATGTCCCTGGCAGTAGGATCATTGTAGTTTTCTCTGGGAAGGGAGCATGATGTTCGTAGACTCAGCCACATTTCTCAGAATCATCTCTGAGAATGGATATTTTCACTGCCCATCCACACGCAGGCCCCCGTGGGGGG